TTACACGTAGCTGTTGCTGATCCACGTGGCCGCGAGCTTCCTGGAGCTTGTGAGGAGCTCTCAGGGTTTGGCCCGTCCATCACCTGTGCCGTTCCCGTTTCCTAACGCCTTCGCGTCTCTCTTCACAGGTTACTTGTACAGTCAGGGGCATTTAACACGTGCGATCTGCTGCCGCGTGGCGAGAGACGGGAACCCGCTGCAGGAAAAGCTCCGGGCTCCGTATCACATTAACCATCCTGAGGTACGCTGCGGGCTTGGCACCTCTCCATCCTTCCGTCCCCCCCTTCCACCTCCGCCCTCGGGTTTAGGCCTCGCTCTGCAGGGGGGGGTCGCCTGGCAGAAGCTCTCCAGCCAGGGTCAGGAGGCCGATGGCCAGGAACCTGCCCGCTTTGCGTCATCCCACAGTGTCTGGGGCTCCCTGGCAATGCCTCGGTCGGGGAAAAAGGAGACCAAGGTCATCCCCGTAGCCTTCAGCTTAGTAAGAACCTAGCGCTGGCTTTTCTCAGGAGTTTGGGCTGAGCTGAACCCCTGCCTGCAGGGGACGGAAGCTCCGTGGATTTCACGCGTCCGGGGTAAGATCAGACCTAGCGCGCCTGCCTCTCGAAAGGAACAGCAGCAGCAGCGGGGCACCTTGAGCGCGGGGAAACTGAGGTTTTGACACGCAAAGCACCAAGGGATGGAAAATAAACGCGAGGCTCTGCCACAGGCGAGCGCGGGCTGGTGGGTGCCATGCGCCCGGTCCCCTGGCGAGAGGCTCCCCTCGCCAGCGAGCTCGCGCAGCAGGATGGGCGCGAAGAGCTCACGCAGCAGGACCGGCGCTAAGAATCCCTCTTACGTAGGTTGGGCGAGTCAGCGTGTACGACTCCGCAAGGCAGACGGGCAAGACGAAGGAGTCTTCGGTGAATTGGTGTCTTGCTGATGAAAGCGAAGTTGAAGTCTTGGATGGCACGAAAGGGAAAGTAGATGGGTAAGAAGAGCCTTTCCTGACACTGCTTTTCTCTTTGGGGAAAGGGGGGCAGCTCTGAAGCCGCGAGCACGCTCTGCACCTTACGTGTGGGGAGGGTTGCGGAGAGGAATTTCAAACTGATGTAAGCGAGCGCTCTTGGAGCAAAACAAAATATTGCCCGGCCCCTACAACAGCGCCCCGCTGAGCCAAGAGACCTCGCAGGCATCTCGTCGTGGTTTTTTCCCTGTACCCCCTGCTCCTCTTCGCTCTTCTGAGTGTCGTGTCCTTCATTGCTGCCTTTCTCTCCCTTCTCAGGCCGAAGCTGGAGGTGTCTCGCGTGTCCAAGAGGAAAATGTTCGCCCTCTTCCAGCAGTTATGCGTCAAGAACAACCGCAAAGACCTGCAGAAGCTCTCGGTGTACTCGGACGCTAAGGAGGCAGCCACGGCCTACCAAGAAGCCAAGCAGTGCTTCTTCAACACGCTGGAAGAGATGGGCTACGGCAGCTGGATCCGCAAACCCCAAGAGGAAGATAATTTCTCCTTCCCTGATGCGTAACGAGACGCCCTGCGTGGGGGGCGGGGGGGGTGAGTGCGCGCAGGCGTGCGCACGGGTGTGCGCGTCCTTCTTTCACCACCTTCTTTTCGAAGTGGAATCCGGAGCGTGCAGCAGTTTCCCCTGTAGGCCTGGCTGCCTTCTCTCTCTGCTCGTGTTCCTCTCAGCCCCTGTCCTTTCCCTTTTTAAAACATGCATGGAAACTACTGTCTTTTTTTTTTAAGCTAGGGCAGGCTCAGTCCCTGCTTGCTTTTACGTTTTTTGTCTCCTCTTTTTTTAAAAGAAGGCACAAGAAACCAGAGGGATTCTCGGACTGCGAGCTCGAAACCTTTGGACTGTGCACCACAGATCCCTCTGGCAGGTTTTGAGGCAAATTTTCTCTTTTGAGAGAGAGAAAAAAAAAAAAAAAAAAGCTGACTGGCTGGCTTTCCCTGCCTCTGGCAGAAGATGGCTGGCAGCCCGTCTGAGCTGGGACGCAGGACTGATCTCGGCAAGACAGCCGGCAGGACCAGCGTAACATTCCGCGTTAATAATAAAAAAGAAAATTTCTGTATTAGAGCTGGCGTTGTGCCCTGGGTGTGTTCATTCCTGCAGTGAAAGAGGGGCCCTGGGCAGAGCTGGGTGCGGTTTGGAGAGGAGCGGAGCGGGGTTACCGTTTGCTAAACGACGCAAGGTCTTGCGTAGAACTGTGGCAGTTGTGAATTAAAGCCCCTTGCCTTAAGCAGGGGCTCAGCGGGCAGAATTGAGCCCTTGGGGGGCTTGAGCCCCCTGAAATGACGGGGCAGGGTTCTGGCTCCTTCCCCCTCTGCCTCGCTGTCTCGATGCCCTTGTAGAAGGTGAGCAGACGCGGTTCCCGTCCACCAGCTGGTTCATTCGATGCTGTTCGAGCAGCCCCTTTCCCGGTGCTGTGCCGGCGGGGCCTGGGCCGGGACAGCTGGCACCGGTGAGATCGGACAAGGAGCCCGCGAAGCACCGGGCATGGAGGCGTAGCCCAAACCCAAGAGGAGAAGCCCTGAGGCTGGGGGAGCCCCGGGAGCAAGGCCCCGGCTCTGCCGGTGCCGCTGGCGTGGGCGCCTCTCCCCGCGCAGCAGGAAAGGACGGCGGTGGGCAGGGTAACGGCGGCTGGCGTGGGAGCCGACCGGGCTTCTGTCAGGCCTTCGCCACAGCCCCCCGCGGCGTCCTCCTCTCTCCATTGGAAGGGCGGACTGTTGGGTGGGTGAGGAATTGGCTGGGTGGTCGCAGCCAGAGGGTGGCGGTCAATGGTTCGGTGGCCAGATGGAGACCGGTGACGAGTGGTGTCCCTCAGGGGTCCGTACTGGGACCAGCGCTGTTCAATATCTTCATCAACGACACAGCGGGATCGAGTGCACCCTCAGCAGGTTTGCAGGTGACGCCAGGCTGAGGGGTGCGGCTGACGCCCGAGGGACGGGATGGCTTCCAGAGGGAGCGGGGCAGGCTGGAGAGGTGGGCCCGTGTGCCCCTCATGGCGTTCACCAAGGCCAAGGGCAGGGTCCTGCACCCGGGTCGGGGCAACCCCCGGTGTCAGCACCGGCTGGGGGATGGAGGGGTGGAGAGCAGCCCTGAGGAGAGGGACCTGGGGGTGCTGATTAGGCGAAAAGCTGGCCCTGAGCTGGCCATGTGCGCTGGCAGCCCAGACAGGCAGCCGTCTCCTGGGCTGCGTCCCGGGCAGCGGGGCGAGGGGGGGGGATTCTGCCCCTCTGCCCCGCTCTGGGGAGAAGGGCAAGAGCCCGGCATGTCTGAGTCGAGACCCGCTGGGCAAACTGAAGGGCAAGAAGGAAAGGCAGAGGCAGTGGAAGCAGGGAGGCCTTATTGCGTCCTTTCAATATTTAAAGGGGGCTTATAAGAAAGGTGGGGACAGGCTGTTTAGCAGGGCCTGTAGCCACAGGACAAGGGGGGATGGTTTTTAACTAAAAGAGGGCGGATTCAGACTGGATCTGAGGAAGAAATTTGTCACGCTGAGGGTGGTGAGACACCGGCACGGGTTGCCCAGCGCAGGGTGGATGCCCCATCCCTGGGCACATCCAAGGCCCGGCTGGACGGGGCTGTGAGCAGCCCGATCTGGGTGGCGATGGCCCCGCCCATGGCGGGGGGGACGGACGGGATGGCCTTCAAAGGTCCCTTCCACCCCGAAGCCTTCCGTGATTCCATGGCCGCGGCGCAGAGCCGCAAGGGGTGGCACCAGCCTGGGCGCCCCGCTCCCCCCTGCGCACAGAGCAGGGCCGCAGCGGCAGCCACGGCACAAGGATGGAGCTGGGATGATGATGGCCCCCCCGTCATCCTGCCGGCGGCTCAGGGTGCTGTGCCGGGGGCTATCGGAGCTCCCGCCGCGCTCCCCCCACCCTCCGGCTCTCCCAGGACTCCTGGGTCTCCGCTGCCTGCCGGAGCGCAGCGGGACCCCCCTGTCCTGCGCTCGCCCGGGGCTGCAGCGGCAGCGGAGGGGACGCAGAGGTGGGACGAGCCCCGGCGCGGGGCGCGCAGGCTGCTGCTTTGGGGCAAAGCTCTTTAACGTTTAGGTATTGGGGTGCAGCCCTGAGAGGAGGAGGCCCAGGATCATCAGCCGGAGCAGCCCGGGATTTCTCTGGCTGGGTGAAGTGCTGGGATTTATATTAATTTCTAGCATGCGGCTTCCCCCGGCGCTGCGTGCTGCCGGCCCCCGTCTGCGCCGCGCTCCCCCCGGCACGGAGGATTAGCGGTATTTATAGCAAACCACTCCATCGCAATTTTCCCCGATGAGGCCAATTCCTGCCTAGGAGGGAATTCCGCTGCCGGACGGGCCCGGGCTGCCAGCCCACGGCGGCGGCCTTGTATTTTCCTTTTCCTCGCGCGATTCGGCTCATGGCTGCTCTCGGCTCCAGCGCACCGAGTTTAGCCGGAGCCGGTGGCGCTGCCGGAGCGTGGAGCAGCCCTGGTGCTTGTTTCCCTCGTCCTGCCTGCAGGTAGGACCTAAAAATAGCTCACCTTGAGGAGCCGAAGCAGAGCCTCATCCTCCTCGTCGTGCTCCTGCTGCGTCAGCGCGGCTCTGCCCGGCTCCCGGGAGCCCCAGGGACGGCGCAGGGCTCCGGCAGGGTTGCATCGGCAGGAGGAGATGCGGTGACGGCTGGTGCTCTGGAGAGCATCCCCGTGGGGCCGGTTTCACGCCGCCACCGCGCTCCCTCCCTCAGGAATTGGGATTTTCCTCTTCCAGAGCCGATTCCTCCCCGGCTTCTTACCTCGGTCACGGGGAGCCGGAGCCCCCCCCCCAGCCCTGGCTGCATCCCGCTTCCTCCTGCCCGCGGGGAGCGGGATGAAACGACACTAAAATGAAGCAGCCCCCTCCTGTGTGAGTATTTATTGGTTTGCAGTGGCTGCCTGGAGCTCAGCACCCAGCTCGCCGGCCCCGGGACTGGCCGGTCCCCGGCTCAGCAGCGGGGAGAGGGCACAGAGCCCGTGGTCCCTCGCTGTCCCTGGGGTCGGCGGGGAGGGCGAGCGGCCGCCCCGGCGTTATTTGGAGGTGGGGGTGCCCTGGCCGAGCTGCAGCAGGGAGTTGGTGGCGTAGTTCTGGAAGAGGGGCTGGAGGAACATGCCGACGGTGCCGAAGACGCAGACGAAGACGAAGATCCACAAGAAGAGGCGGTCGATGACCATGGCCACGTACTTCCAGTCCTCGCTCACCTGCGCGGGGCCGGGAGAGAGAGCGGGTCAGGCCGGGGCCTCCGGCATCGCCCGGCGCTGCCTGTGCCAGGCAGGCGGCCGGACCGGGAGCTGGGCGGCTCCGCAGAGCCCTGAATCTGCTCCCTCAGCACTGCAGCTCCCAGGGCTGCCTGCCAGCCCGCCATGGGCCCCGCAGCGCTCCGTGCCCCCGCGCTGCCGAGCCCGGGAAACTCATCTCGCCGGTGAGCTGAGGCAGGCAGCGGCCCCCAGCCCTGCAGCCCCGTCCGGGGCCGGCTCTGCCAAAATCTGCAGCCTCACGGTGCCGCGCAGGGCCGGGACGGCCGGGACCTCCGCTTGCCAGAGCAACTGCTTCAGGCTGGGGCCGCAGCGGCAGGGGGTCCCCGGGCAGGGACCCCCTTGGTGCTCGTGCACGTCCCTTCCTGCGGTGCAGCCGTGCACACGCTCTGCACCCCGTGGCCATACGTGCACCCCCAAAGCCCTGCCTGTACCCCAAGGCTCTGCCTGTCACCCACAGCCCTGC